ATATCGGTTAATAATTATTTTGATGTGGAGCAGGAGAATTTAGAAAAATCGTTGAACAAAAGTATTGAAATGCCACGGAAATTAAACAGCAGTTTAACACAGGAAAGTGTACCAGAATTTTCCGGTGCCAGTTCAAGTGGCATAGTAGCTCAACCAGTTATAAGACCAACTTTAAACTTAACTTTAGATATGTCATCATCATTTTGTAGTGCAAGAAGTTCTGCACCGTCTTCGCCCGCTTTTCCGATTTCCAATATCAATGATATCAATGAACCTTACCGTTTTCCACAGTCACCCACATCTGCAAATAAAGGAATAATATATTTAGAAAAATCGGACTATGCAAAAAAATTAAATGATTCAAATAAATTTATTTCTGATTTTAGATCTAATAGTCCACAGTTAAATCTAGTGAATGAAAACAATGGTTTGAATACTTTGGATTCACCTTTAGGTCTTAATAGTAATGATGTTGCATTAAACAGTATATTTAATAATAATCAAACATTACCTATTACAACTGCAAAAAGAACATTCACTGTCAGCTCATTAGATACGAATGAGTCTGTTTCAGATTCACATGAAAATGACATTACACCACAGACTGATCTAACCACAATTATAGACAAGTCTGTTAAAAATAATTTCGTAAATGCTTCTAATGACGGCACTGAAGAAAGTAATACTATGGAAGACATGGATGTTGATGTTAGCATGAAGTCTTTGCACGAAAATTCGGCTTTGTTATATCTAACGCCAAAAGAAAAATTAAATTTGAAAATAGGCGAATCTGAGAAAGCATCTACACCACTAACAGGTGAGCACAATAACCTATTCGCCACAAACGGCCTTGAAAGAGAATGTTCAAAAACACCACTAACACCAATTCCTCAAAGTCAACCAAATATCGGTGAACCGGATTACAATTCTCCATTTTATCAGCTCTTTTCACCTGTAGTTACTATGGAAAAGCGTCAAAAGGAAGAGGAATTAATAGGAAATATTCAACCTAAATGTTTAAATATACCAAATGTAATAACAATGGCTGAACGTCAAAAAATGGATGAAGATGTATTATCAGAAAATCAGCTCTCTTCATCAAAGCGTAGCGCTTCACCCCCCATAACAACTATTAAAACAAATTTGCATGAAGATGATTTAAAAATGTTCTCAGAATGTTCTTCACCTACTTCAAAATCGCCACCAATACCTACATTGCAAAAACAATACAAACCTAATAATATTGATATTGTAAGCGAAGATAAACAATCTAAGACTGAATATATTGCAGATTTGGTAAATGCAATAGAAATTAATGTTGTCTCTTCATCAGAGCTTAGAGCTTCACCCCCCATACCAACTATTACAACCAAATTACAGGAAGATTTAAAAATGTTCTCTGAATATTCTTTACCTTGTTCAACATCGCCACCAATCCCTACATTGCAAAAACAATACAAACCTAATAATATTGATAATATAAACGAAGATAAACAATCTAAAACTGAATATGTTGAAGATTTAGCAGATCTTTCGCCACTATGTTTGGTTTCACCTCCAATACCGACTTTAAACAAACCTCTCGCAGGTCTTAGCGAAGAGGACAACACTAAGTCCTTTTCACCATCTGTGTATAAAAACACAAGAGCAACTACTCATAGTTCAGTTGGTTCATTGGATTCTTCTTATGGAGAAGTTTTATCTGCTAAAGAGCAAACCAAATGTAATGCACGTGATGAAAAAGATGTTGAAAACATTAGCATATCTCAAATTAATGATTTGTTTGTAAAGAAAACTCTTAACAAATCTCAGTCAATCTATGATGATGAATTCAAGAGTGTCAATACTGATGCAAATGGTAAGTAATATATTTAATTTTTTTTTTTTTTTAAACAATTTGATTATTTTTTATTGCATTTTAAAAAACAAGTTCTAAGTGATTGATGTTTATGGGATTATCTAAAAGTTCTTTTTCACATAGTTTTTGTGAAAATATAGTTAGGAAAAACAAAAGCATATTTTTAATTTTTAATTTTGATTTTTGTGTAATTAGTATAAAAATATAAACATTACAAATTTAAACCACGATACCCATAGAGCATATAGCTCTATTTTGGTACAAACATCCAATTTTTTGTTATTCTTCCAAAATTTTAGATTATATCTATAAAGATATATAAAGAATAAAATTTATAAATAAGTTTATAAATTTATTATATTATATTATTGTTATTGCTATCGCTATTAATTTTTTTTTATATATTCAGATTTATTACTTAAATGAGCTTTATATGTCATATTCTATTACAATGCTTTCGATAGGAAGTCTCATGTAAAATATTCAACTGAAGTTTAAACTCGATAATTCACTTAGATGATGTATCAGACTAAAACTATTTCATTTATTTTTTGAATTACTTTAGTACGGTGATGGCAAAAATTAAGATGCATTCACATTATAAAGCCCACTATATAACTGAAAATTTTTCTATCTATCTAATGTGAATTGCAAGTACATTTTGTTTAAAATTATAATATGAATTATTAATTATATTTTATTATCTTTTTTGCTAAATTTGTTTCAAGTAAATTTCAAACAAAATTTCATTGTTCAGAATATAAGAAATTTCAGTTCTGAATTTCTTCCATCTTCCATTAATGCATTTAGGAGTATAATCTCTAAGAAAGCAAGGTGAAATTTTTTTTAATTTTACAAGCTATTAATATCTTATTTATTGATGTATATATACATATGCATTGAATTGCGCTCTGACCGGTTTGGTTTCCATATAAAATAAATACGTTATGTCCTGTTAGTTATGAGTTTTAGGTTCAGGCAAGTTCATATTGTCTATTTTCTTCCTCTGGCACCTATAAAAATTTTATTAAAAGTTGATATGATCAAACCCAAATAACGCATACGTCTTGTCTTATAAAATTAAAGCTTTAACAACAGCTAGGATTTTGTAGAACTTGCCTTTATTTAATGTATTTACCTGGTACAATCTTTTCTTACTTAAATATTTATTCATTTATTTATTTAAACTATTCAGTAAAAATAAAATATAATATACTTTTCGAGATGTAATTTATTGACGCTATTATAATCATAAAGATAATTTAATTATATCGAAGGAATATTTTCTACCACATTTTAAATCAAACTTAACACTTACATTGCTAAAAATTGGAAAGCAAAATGATATATAAAGGGTGATATATTGAAATACATCTGCGTTACGAGGCAAATGATTTCCTTTTATTTACCCAATAAAAGAATATCGTTTTCAAGAAGAAGTAATAGCCATCCAAAATATACCACCAGCCTACAATCTAAATCAGTCATTCAACTAATTAATATTGAATACGAGTAGAATATATCGGTTATTAAAAAAAAAGGGTTTTGTTGTTATCTAAAAAAAGTCCTATATACTTAGGTGCACACCTTGTACATACAGGGTTAGGCTATTGAAGTGTTACCAACTAAACACAGGTGTATCTGTCAAACTGATATTGTTAAGTACGTAAAATTCATACGAATGACAGCTGTTAATTGTTTACAAGCATACGTCGAGCTAGAGGGAATGGATTTTGAAATTTTGATTATTTCCACAAAATTTTGTAATTTGTATTAATAATAAATAATTTCACACAAAAAAGACAAGATCGCTTGAATAAGTAACACTTCAATCGCCTTACATATAGGGTAAGGTCTACTAATCAAATCAATTTATATCTTATTTCTTCGAATCTTCGAAATTGAGTTAAAAGGATTCCGTAAAAATCTTTTTAACTATCACAATAATAGATTTTTAATCGCTTTATTTGGTATTTTTAATTTTTCCATTTTTATAACGAGATAGTTTTAACTTGTAGAATGTCAAATCCATTTCCATATTGGAACTTAAGTAATTATATCACTTGATTCATCTATATTAATTAAATAATATTGCGCTTATTGGTATTATCTATGGCAGGGCTGTTCAAACAAATCTCTGTATAAATTGGGAGGCTGCAGAAAGAAATACATACGTGATTAGTTGTTTTCGACAAAAATAAAAATACGGTTATGTTAACTTTAGTTTTATTAATATGCTAATTTAAATTAATTTATTTGGTATACCTTCTGCTCAAAAATTATTTTGTTGTTTGTTAACTACTCCTTAAGTAATAGACCTTATTCAAAAAATTTTGTTGGTACACCCTTTCTTGACATATAGTACAAATTTGAGCTCCATCTGTCAATTAATTTGTTTACAGCAGCTATTAATGTGAGACTACCTCAAGTGCATTTAGCGATTTTTACTTTGGGAAATTCTTGTTGTACGCGATTTTTTGACCAAACACGGCACCACTGCCATCACTCAGGCACC